ACTTGGTAAGAATATCTGATCGTGATGCGGCGCATTCATAATGCACAATGTTGGAGGCACAATGTCTTGTCCTCTCACTTCTACTGAGACGAAAATGGTTCAGTGGGTTCCGGCGATGACAACTGTATCCCTCCTTTGTAAAGATGCACTTCCCCTTGTATGACCCACAAATCCTTCCTGGGTTGATACGAAGCGCTATCGATTATCAGAGAAGGCCACCTCTCCTATGACTGGCTAAAGCTTAAGTTGATGTAACTTCTCATGTGGAATATTATTTCTTTAACTTCTCTTCCCAAACACATGTAATTATTTCTGAATGGATTCCAGCCTCCAGCCCCCCCCCGGAAACTATGATAGACGTGGAAATTCCTGGACAAGCCTGGGTAGCTTCTGCTTTGGTGTGAATTCAGTTTCTGTACTGTGCTGCAGAAGCCCCTAGTTACAGCGCAGAACGTGGCAAATCTTGCAAAGATCGGTGAGAGTGGATGTTTATTTCTGTTGTTTGTTTGTTTTCCACAAAGCAATGATAGTTGTTAGAAGTGCAGTATTTTTCAGGTTTTCTTTTTATTTCTAAGTTATCATATTTGCTCGTTTTCACCTCTTTCTTTTCCTCCCCCGTCGAACTTCAGAGAACTTTTTCCCCCTTTGCCTGCGACCAAACATCATCACCACGGGAAACCATTTATTCTGTGAGCTCTACTTACAGACTGGCAGATATTGTGGAAAGATTCAAAAGACCTGAGTTTTGATCCTTTTTGCTACACACCTTGGGCAGAGACAGTTTATATTTTATGGGTGGTATTCGCCCAATTTGAAGTAGTTAACTTTCTTTTGGAATTCTAAAAAGGCGCCCTTTCAATTTTGTGAAATAAGATATGACAGTAGTAAGAGTCATCAGAAATTATGGTTTTCAAGTGTGTTATTGAAAAAGACTTTAAATAAGAAAAAAAATTTGGAACTCATGTTCAACACAAATAACAGTGCTATTTATAAGCCTCTGACAAGTTTATCATAGATCTTTAGTAATTTCTGAAGTTTTCTAAGTATATAAGAATTTTGGCATTTCAGCATTTTGAGGCATCTTAAAGTCATGGAGTCTAACGATTCATCTTATCCAGACTCCCACGTGCCCCACATCCCCCTCTGCTCTCCCTCTCCCCAGGAGCAGAGCCCCCCCATCTTCTGCTTTCTCTGCTCACTGAGCCCCTGCAGGGTGCCCGCTGCTGTGCCAGGGGCTCGATGACCTCGAGAGATACCGTTGTGGGTACAGAGAGTAGGAGGGGTACAGATGAGGACAAAGAGATCCCGGGACAGAGTGACATGCTTCTGGAGGCTGAGTCAGAATGAAGCACAGCGCTACCCCATGACACGAGGCGGGCACACTGACGGTCGTCACGGCATACCTACCCGAGGGGCCTCGTTTTATGTTCTGGAAAGCAGCGTTTCGCCGTTCGGTAGTGTTACGTTGGCCCACGTTCCCTGTGGAAAGGTGTCATGGTCTAAGTCCTGTGATAGTTAAGACAGCCCTTCCCCAGTGCCTCAGTTTCTGTTCTGGTCTCCATCAGGTCTTATTGAGGATGACTCTGGGGACTTTGCGGGACTCCTGGGAGCAAAGTGATGGTCTGCGTGTCCGCGTCATCTCCTTCCCCCCCTACTCTACCCTGCATATGGGCTGTGGACAGTGCGAGGTAAGCTGCAGGCACGACTGTCTCAGATCTGCCAGCCAGGCAGACAAGGGGGCCGAGGGGAGAGGCCGAGTCAAACCACTGTCACTCGGGGCAGGGGGTGAGGGGTGGAGGGAGATGACAACTGCCCTCTGTAATGCTACCCACTCTGAGACACCCCACACTTCCCTCAGGTGCAAGATGGCGATTTTGTTGCAAGGGAAGCAGACTGTGGAGCCTGCTCGCCGACCAGACGGTTCCAGCTCCCAGCTGTCTGCCCTGCACGGGCTTCCGGGGCTGTTTCCTTTCTACTTGTTTTCCCTTTTCTCCCTTCTTACCTTTCCCTGCTTTCTGTTTCCTTCTCCTTCTTCACTCCTCCTGTTCTCTGTCTGTTTCTCTCCCTGTCTATCTGACTCTCTCTGTCTCTCTGTCTCTCTGTCTGCGTCTCCCCATAGATGGAAAAATATTCTGAGCATCGATCTAGGGACCGAGATAAAAGTTTTGCATCATGAGAGGGACAGAGAGGGACAAAACAGGGGCGAAGGTTCGGGAACTTGGACTGTGTTCCTGGCACTGTCATTACTGTCGGTGACAGACAGGTTGAGAGGAAAGATGTCAGTGTGATTTGAGAAGCAACGCAGAGTACAATGGTCTATTCTTCCCAAGCTACCGCTCCCGAGCCAGGCTAAGGACGCTCGAGAACAGTAAGGAACCCAGTCACTCACCCATGGTTGTGTCTGGCACTGACTGGGTCAGAGACCTCGGTCAGCTCATAGAACTACTCTGAGTTTAAAAAGGCCCACTTAGAGCAAGAAAACCTGAAGAATTTATGCAATTTCAAAACACACAGTGAAACCTGAGAACACAGTAATTCCTGAGCTGGGTGTAAATTGGGATCGATGTTGTCCTCCGATGTCACTGTGCCATTTAGCTCTGTGCCGAGGGTGACTGCCAGGCTGAGTGACGGGGCCACTGGTCCAGCTCGTGCCATGAAAGGCATAGCACAGACTGATGGTGTTGCCTCTCGTTACGTTCTCGAATGGCCCACTACTGTCCCTGTGATGTGGGCCTGTCCCCAAACCCATGCTACAGGGAATAAAGTAGCTTTTACAAGCTGCTATGTGCATGCTTAGGGCGATAACTGCTCTCTTAGATCCTTACATTCAAGTTTGCTTTCACTTCCAGAACTCCCAAGCCACCGATACAAAGAATGGTTGGATAAATAAAACGGGACACTCCGGAAGCTGAGCGACTGGCCGCGGTGAAGGGCTGCAGGAAGGGGCCCAGGCTGTCGGGGCACGGCCCCCAGCCCCCCAGCACCAGCGTCTCCGGGGAACCTGGCGGAAGCCAGATTCTCGGCCTCACGCAGACCCACTGAGGCAGAGACTACGCCAAACCATCCATGTCCCCTTCGCTTAGAAGCCGACTGCGCTCAGCCAGCTTTCGGTGCCCACTTGGTGCTAGAGAAGCTACATGAACTGCAGCAGATCGCACAGTGTGTGACAACCTGGAAAGCTCGGGCTGGCATCTGGAACTTCCGATGTCCACTCCAGCCCCCTGCCTGGAACATAGTGGTGGCAGTGGGTCTCCAGGAGGACGGCGGGACTGGGGCTAGGCTGGTGTCCCAGGAGGAGAGACAGTGGGGTCTGTGTGACCCGGGAGGCCAGTCGTCGGGTGGGGAGCAGCGTCTTCATAAAAGTTCTGTCCAAACTGACAGGCGGCACGTCACTGTGGAGATGCTCTTTTGGAAGAAGTCGTCTTTTTCTTCCATAATGACAGGAACAGGGCTTTATCATCCAGCACGCATAGGATGTTCCATACCAAAGGCTGAGAACCGGTGCCCTGGTGGAGAAAATCGTGGTGGGTGCGAACGATCCATTCTCAGGAGTGTGCTCGTTTCGAAACGGGCAAAAACTGCGAGTGGCAGCTTATTGCAGAGCTACTTTTAAAGTGACCAAGTCCTTTGAAAATGTGAGTCCAAAGTGGAAATAACTCACCGTAAGCCCTGAGATTACAGATGACTTTGGAGACAATAATGGAGAAAAAGGATATTGGAAAAGACAAAAGGAAGTTCAAGATTCTCCTCCTCGATGCGGACTTTTGTTTTGTTTTGATTTGGTTTGGGGGTCCAAACAGTCTTCTTTACGGGAGAACAGATGTTCAGTGGAAACTGGGAATAGTCAGCTCGACCCCGGGGGTCACTTGCTTTGTATTCAACAGACAGTCAAAACAAACAAAAAAAAGGCCTCCGGAGAGTCTTCCCTTTGTGACTGCTCTCTCCAGGTGACATGAAACGAACACAGCCTCCCACAGCCACCGAGGCGGCTGCAGAGTGTTCTGAGAAGCGTGGGCTGAAAGCGTCCAGACCCAGACAGGCTGGGACGGTCCCAGAGAGAAGGGTGGTGGCATACTGCACATCCTCAGAGGCCGCCGCCACAAACTGTGAGGCCTCTTCATAGGAAGTCTTTAACGGTAAACTCAATTCAAATGGAAAGTCATCAAGCTTCGAATGTTTGTTTTTTTTAAGAACAGTTTATTTACCTCATTTTCCACAAAGTCAGTGGTAAAACTTCCTGAATTTCTGAGTGTTTCTTCCATCGAGCTGTTTTTTACATCACTTTTTGACTAAATAGATCTCCTTCAGAAGACTAGTGTGAACAATGAACAGCAACGTCATGATAACACACCTGGAGAGTCCACGAGAGAGTCCACAAGAGACACAGAGCGGCCAGGATGGTGGCGTGTGAGAAGCACTAAAAAGTGCCTGCAAAGCCGGCTAGTGCCAGAGCTCCAGATAGCAGCCTTGGTCCAGCTCACCTGGAGCAAACCTTCTCAACATTCTATCCCTTACCGTCTTTATCATGAAACCTTTGTCAAAAGCAGCTTGGGTTAGGTCACTGAAAAGTCAGGAACTGTGAAGGGTCCGAGATGCTTGTCTTTCTAGGATGCTTCTAAAAGTTAAGTACAAATATCCTGGGACGTAAACTTCAATCGCAAAGCATGTAAAACGGCGATTTATTTGTTTAATCTGTAGAATACATTTGTTTTAGGCACTGGAATTTGCTCACTTAAGTTGTAAATTAACTTAATCTCATTCATCATCATACAAATTGTGCAAAATTATTTGTTCATCAGAGAAAATTATTCAGGCACCTGGGTCTAGTTTCCCTCGGTGCCAATTTTGCAATGCACAATAAAATCAGGAAAATTCTATAGCCAGCTCAGACACAAACACAGTGAGAAGTCTGTCCTGAGAGCACATTGTCCTTTTCCCAACCACGCACTAGTATGATGGGTCCAGGTGTCTAAAACCTGCAGAAGCACCAGCCTCTCTGCTCTTCGGATCGAAATTTCTGTTACATTCTTACAGACTTCACTTAGTTTAAGACATTTTTAATGTAAAAAAAAATTAATAATACAGATATCCTCCACTGTGCCATGATTTGAATTTCCCAAACATTGGGAAAACTTTGAAGTAGCTCTTCTATTATTTTTTCCATTTCAGTAATATTTTCCCCTTTCCTCTTAAGGAAGAGATTAATGTTATTTTCCATTCCCTGACGGGGCTGCTAGTAATAGGGCATTTAAGAACAGACATTGGAGAAAGGTTGCAGGGCCTGGGGTCAGGGACCAACACCCCCGAGGTCTACATTCACTGTCTCTTTACGTCGTCATGTACCCAAAGTGAAATCACTTCACTCCAAGAAGCAGGGCCAGGTGACAGTCTGATTATTAGGGGACCGGATTATAGGAGACACCTGAGTGCTGGTCTCAGAAACCTGTGCGTAGTAGGACTCTGATTCCGTGGGAGGTCTGGGTCGGTGTGCAGCATGGCTCAACTGTGCTACTGTGACCTCCTGAGGCACCAGCAGGCCCAGGCCGTGGGCAGCCTTCTCGCTGTGTGTTCACACCCATCAGATGAATGGCCGCAGTTATTCTGTTGGAAGTGGCTTTAGGAAAAATAATCAAAAACCAGCTGCCTTTCTAACATCGCAGCTCTTTTGTGGCAAGAAACGGCTTAGTCTCATCCTTCTCTTCTGAAATCAGTAGATTTTAAAGATGTCTTTGATATATTTCTTGGATTTAGGAGTAAGAATAATCATACTATTTCCTGCAAGTTATTGGGCACTTGCTACATACTTTATATTTATTTTCTCAACAAGCTAATAAATGGCAAACCCAGGATCTGGACCCCAGTCTGTCTGAGTCAAAGCCCTAGCCCTGACCACAACCTGTGGCACTTGCCAGATGTCAAGACACGTAGAAGACAAGCACTCTTACCAAGGGAGGCAGTGCATCGGCCCGGCCAGCCTTGGGGATAAGCCGCCACCAGTCCCACAGCTCTTGAGGGCATCTCCAGATGCCTGCCACTAAGCTCGCAGCTCCACCCATTGGCATTCATTTATTCGATTTCCACTGCGCTCGCTCTGAGAAATCTCTTCAAAAACAGATGGCCAGGATCAGGGCGGCGTCTTGTGCCATCTGTGTCCTCTAAGAAAAAGACAGCCAGTGGGATGAGGAATGCAAGAGACTTGTGGGGGAACGTGTACGACCGCATGCCAGGATTCCGAACATGGCACATGGGTCAGGAGATGCCCTCTGTGGCCCCCAAACACCAGCCGAAGCCTTTCCTACGGCGCACGCTGTCTGCTTACCTGTGTATCTTCGCCAGGAGTCAACAAGGTCTTCAAGGTCAGGGACTCCACAGAAAACCCGTGTTCTCCCACAGACTCAGGGCACCGTTGCCCCGACCCAGCCCTCGTCCGATGTGGCCCCGACGTCTGCAGTCGAGACTCCCGGGAAGAGGAAAGAGACGGCAGGCCCCCAAAGGGGATAAGTGAGAACGGACCGCTATGCAGGGGCCTGACAGAAGGAAGCTTCGCATAAGTAAAACTCTGCCACTGCAGACAAGAGACAGTCACACGGTGTCATCCTCACGCTCGTGATAAGCACAGGTCTGAACGCGTGGAAGCCGATCCATCGTTCTCAAGCCTTGGAGGTTAGTGTACTTTAAGATTTTGGATGAGTGCCATTCGGAAAGTGTTTCCTTTGTGAAGGTGTCATTATAATAACGAACGGTTTGCGTTTGGGGGAGCGGGGTACTCTTTGGAATGTTCTGCCAAAGGGGAAAAGGTTAGCAGCTGGCTTTAATGACGTCTGGGAACGTGAGAATTTTAGTTTCTTGAGTCTTCTTTCTTTTCACCCCAAAGTCAAATGAAGGGCGGAGTAAGAAAAAATTGAAAACAGAAACAAATATGCCGGCTTGACTATAATTACAAAAGTATTTCATGTGTCAGTTTGTTTTTTAAAGTACATTGACATACATGGTCTGATTTGACGTACGTTTATAAACAAACCAACTGTAATTAATGCAGGTTAGCCGTGATAATCCCTATGACAGACATGGGGAAACTGAGGACCAGACAGAGCTTCGTCTTCAGCAGCACCGTCCTTCTGAGAAAATGTCCAAATCAGCATTCTCTTCCGGTGCGTATCGATCCTCCCACTGCCCACCCTCCCGTGCTTTGTACTTCTTCCTCTCCTTTCCTTCCTCCCTCCCTTCCTTCCCCCTCCCACCCCCGCTATCGTGATATAAAAAGAAATATATTTTTTGGTCTTCAGCTCTGGCTCCTAAAACATCTCCAGAGCAAAAAAAAAAAAAAAATGAAAGGGATATCTTTTCTTAAAAGGTGTGGTTTTTGTTCCTGAAATTGCTCTGGAGTGATGAAGTGGACGATGAAGTTGACGGGAGTTGACGGGAGTGTCTTTTGTTATTTATTACAGGCCCCTTTCAAGCACATCTGTTAAGGAGGTGACTTTTGGAAAGCCCCTAAGGATGGGGTGGCTGTTTTCCAGGGTCCCCAACCATGTGAGTAGAGGGTTGGAACTTTCAGCCGCCCCCCACAACCGGGGAGGGGAGAGAAGCCGGAGTTTGAGTTAATAGGCAATGGCCACTGATCTCATCAATCATACTTCATACACGCCCTAAATGAAGGCATCCAGAAGCTTCGGAGTGGGTGACCACATGGAGGAGCTGGGAGAGGGATGTACCCTGAGGGGGCGTGGCAGCTCCGCCCTTCCCCCCCACACCTTGCCCTGTGGTCAGTGTGGGAAAAAAACCAGAAGTAGCAGCAGCGGTAGAGAGAGAAATGGAGTTTTCTTTTTAGTGATGTACTAGAAAAGGCACCGCGCCGAATAAATAGCTTATCATCAGCCGTTCTCTTCAAATAGAACTTCTTCCTGGACTTTAGGAAGATGAGAGCATGCTTGGTAGGCCTGGGCCCTGGGTCCGCTTCCAAGCTCTGTGACCTTGGGTCAGTTCATGACCCCTCGTGTGCCTCAGTTTCCTCACGAGTAAAATAGTAACCTCCCTTAGAGGGTCGTTAGCAGGATTAAATGAGTTAGTATTTGCAGAGTCCCTACCTGGCACTCGATAAACATTATTTAAGTGCGTATTTAATAAATAAGTGAACTGGGTGAGCTCGACATTCCTTCATGAGAGAAAAGTCATGATTCCTCATTGCTCAGCCACTCGCTCATGCCTTTATAACCGATCCCCGAACGCATGGGAGCGAGACGTTCTCTTTACTGCTTCTCTCCTTTCCACCGTCCAGAAGAAATTCCAGGAATGAAAGCGTTTATGAGAACCACAGACATATCACCACACATCTCGCACGAGGGCTCGGCTCCAATGCCTCCTTAAGGAAGAAAGGGCTGCACCCTTTACCCGAGTCCCGGGGGGCATTCCACGGCTGAGAGATAGAGGCTAATGATTCCCAGAGACCACTTTTTGAGATTGTTGAACCGATTCATCAGTGTGTGCCGTGTGAGGTGGGTGGGAAGATTTCACAGTCTGCTACCAATTGTCTCCAACTGCCGGAGGAGAATATTCACTCACGGTGGCTGCCACGGAGGCCATGAGGTCGTGGCATGATTTTTTTCTCTTGTCCTTACAAGGAAATCTTTAAAACTTTCTTTAGACGGGGAACCAAAAATAGTGACAAGGAGAAAGGGTTGCCAAAGATGTGTCCTCTTCCCCCGCCTTTATTTCATTTATAGTAAAATCTTAAGTCTGTGAGAGCAGTTTCGCACATCCCTCTCGCTAGACGCTGTTTATGTCAAGGGGACCTTCGTGCTGCATTTACTCCACGGCTGTCGGCATAGCTCACGTTTAAATATCTATAGCGACTACTACTACTTTCCGTTCATTTTTACTAACCAGTAATTTTTCAGAACGTTCAACTCACATCTTTCGGTCTCAGCCGGATGTCGCAGGATTTCTGCAGTCTCCGGAAGAGGCAGCAGTGGGTAAGGCACACGGGCTCTGGTGGCGCGAACCTTGGGAACGTCACCTTGGGCCGCGAACCTTGGGAACGTCACCCGCCCCGTTTCCCCACTGATGGAGCATGAGAGACGGTGCCAGAGGCTCCTTTTCCTTCCTCACAGACCTCGAGAGAAACTCGCGTTAAACAGTCACGTAGAAGCGCTCGCAAGCGGTATTGGAAAGTAACGTTTACGCTTCGCTTTATACGTGTTCCCTATATGTATATTTCACAGTAAATAAGGTTGCAATGATTGAATCTGCAAAACATAAATAATTGTTAACATTTGCAAAACAAAAGATGCCTATTCAGACATTACTCAGTATCCTACCTATTTAAATAAATAAACACATATATTTTATATTTTACATATATAGGCTAGAGTACTAGAAACATAAGCCCTCTCCCTAGAGGCTGTAAACCTCTGATTCAGCATCTCTGAAACAGGAGAGCCTAGGATCCAGAACACAGATGGCGTTTTTTCCAGTGGACATGTTCGTACGTCTCTTCCATTCATTTGGATCGTTGCTTTGCTTCTGAAGGGATTGGAAGGTCCCGATGGGTGAAATCCTGTTTGCGGGGGAGTGTGTTGGTTGCCCATCAAACATTTCTCGACCTGAGCCCCGGGTTTTAGCTGGGTGCGGAGGCCTGGCCACAGGATGACATCTCTCGTTTCCCTTCCAGTTTGGTGTGGCCGCGTGACTAAGTTCTGGGCCACTGATAGGTAAATGAGAGCATTTGTGGGATTTCCAGAGAGTTCCATAATACAGAGGAGTCACCCCCTGTTTCTTTCCTTCCTCCATCCTGCTGTTTGGCAAGCGGCTGAGACAGCCGAAACCGCCACAGGAATCCTGGACGCGAAGACGGTAGCCACATCGAAGGGGAGGATGCAGAGAAGACAAGAAGGGCTTTGTATCTCTGGCGACAAAGGAGTCAACCTACGAACTCCCGACTACATTGTTCTGGACTTGTCAGATGCGCAAAAGAACTCAACTATTTGGCTTAAATCTTTTTTTTTTTGGTGGCAGGAAAAAGTCACTCTGTGACCCATCAGTTTTAAAGACAAGTTAACATCTTACCTGAAATAAGATGCCAAGAGGCAAAATATATTGTCTGACGTGATTACTTGGCAATTTACTGGTGATTTTGTGATAAACCCTTCAACTCCTGATTCCTGATCTTTGGCCAACAATATGACTTCTAAATAAGTGTTGGCCAGAACAGAGTAGAATGGACAGAGTGGCTTTAAAAAAAATCTTGTCCGAAGAAACAGAGAGTTAAGCAGAAGGACGGCAGAGCCAAATCCGCCATCCCTGGTCTGCTGAAGATCCAGGCGGGGCACACGCAAGGAGGTGGGTGGAACACGCAGGCCAGCGATGTACGCACAGCACCGAGGAAATCTAGCTCAACGGTGTCATACCTGGCTTTTGGGAAATGATGAGGTCATTAGACACTCCACTAACATTTACTGGACAACGTGATATTTTTGCACTGACAAAACCGACGGTCCCTTTGGGAGGGCCCGCTCGGCCCGCTCGTCAGATCGTGTGGTGCTGTGCTGCCACCTTTCCTCACTCGCTCGGCAAGTGTCCGCGGAGTCCCTGGTGCCACGCGCTCTCCGTATTCACACACTGCGCCGCCTTTGCTGACGCAGCTCCCCTCTCCTGGATAACATCTTTTCAGTCTTCCCTTATTTAAAGCCGACGTTTCTCAGAGGCCCAAATCTGGTCCCAGCAGGCTTCCCTGACCACCACGGCCCTCAGCGCCGGCTCCCTGCGATGCTCCGCGCTCCCACGGTGTCTTGCACCCTTAGCAAATGCCACCTTGAATCTTCCTTCCATTTGTTCGACTGTAGCATGAGCGCCTCGAGTTCAGAGACATATCATTGGTGCTTAATAAATGCTCATGGATGACATAATGTTCGTTTAGCACTCGACATTAATTAGGCACCTTCTGCATGCCTCGCGCTGTACTAAGCACCAGTGGCAAGAAAAGATGAATAAGGCTCACAGGCCACTGGAAGAACAGGAGTGCGAACAAATCATTATAATTCAAGATTATTAAGCTACAAAAAGCTCGGAGAAAGTGCTAGAAAGTGATTTATCCCTGGCAAGTTCAAAAGGACTTCACGGAAGAAGCCGCATCCCACCCAGCTCTTAAAGAAGGAAGAAAGGCCAGGTGCGCCAGGGGGCCGTTCACACACGCCAGGTGGCTCGGCACCGCCTCGTACGAAGGAGGCAGGACACTTACTATGTCTCCGCTTTGCATGAAGAACTGGAACTGGGGGCAAAACACCTCAGAGCCTCGCACAGGCGCTCCTGGCTATACAGAGAAATGGAGTGAGCACGGGACCCACGCTCCGGCTGCTCGTCGGGTCCACCACGCCCCACGGCCCCCCTGTGGGACGCCCGCGTCCACGAGGTCCGCCCTGGAGGAGGTCAGGTGTTTCTTATTTTCTCAGTTGAAATGAGTCAAGCAACCCAATTCATGAATTTATTGCATTTTCCCCTCCATTTTTCATAATTCTCTCATTTATGAGGCCAGAGCTCTCTCCGTAATTCCCCTTCCAGGAATCTTCCCTAAGGAAATAATCAGAGGCATAGATTTATGGACCAAAACTTTCCTTGCAGAGCTATTTATAATAGGAGAAAATAGGAAACAACCTAAATTTCCAACAAAAACAGACCAGTGGGCAGGCCCTGAACATCTCTCTGTATATTTTAATGACATTTTAAAAATGCTTACCATTCATGTTATTTAAAAAAGAAAGACAAGATAAAAACCCAGTTTCGTTGAGCATACATGCCAATATGTGCATAAAGAAGGGCTTTCAGAAAGATGCTCACGGTGGCATTCTTGGAACTATTTGTTTACATTTTTTATGTTTTCTACAGTGTGTATTTTATCATCAGGAAAAAAAAGCTGTTTACTAAAATGCCAAAGTCATCAAGAGGGCAATAAAACAAAGACTGGATTCTTGTATTAGGGTTCTCCAGAGGGGAAAAAAATGCAAGAGAGGGGTTTGTTTTAAGGAATCGGCCCATGTCAATGTGCCAGTTGGAGGCCGGCAAATGCAAACTGCAGGGTAAACCAGCAGGCTCGGGACCCCAGGAAGAGCTGATGCTGCAGGTCAGACCCAAAGGCAGTCCACTGGCAGAAGTCTGTCTTATCTAGAGGTCAGTCTTTTTTCTATTATGACCGTCAGCTGATTGGATGAAGCTCACCCGTGTTATGGAGGGTAATCTGCTTTACTCAGAGTCTACTGATTTAAATGTTAATCTTACCTAAAAAAATACCTTCATAGGAACATCTAGAATAAGGTTTGAGCAAACACCTGGATGCTTTAGCCTAGCTAAGTTGACACATACAATAACCATCACGACTCCCTAACCACTGAGGTTTCCTGCCAGTAGACCCAACCGTGTGAAGACAGAGGCTCTGTCTCTTCCTCTCGGTGTCCCCGTCACTCAGCTCAGGTCTGGCTCATGGTAGATGTTCATCCGGTGCTGGAATGAGCGGGCGGGTGAGTCAGGGAGTAAGAAGGGTGGGCAACAATCTTAGAAAATTATCAACTCCAAATGTCAGGGTCCCTTAGCCTGGGACCTGGCCAGCCACCTCGGGGGAAGCCACATCGCAGTATGAGGGTAGGCCTTGGCCACCACGATCACTTCACACCCTCCCCCATCCACCTGTCTAGACCTACTGAAAGTTTGCCCTGGGTCCAGAGGCCAGTGAGGATGGGCAGCCCGCCCCTGGGGGGTTCCCTGCCAAGAGCAATGGTCAGTGGGAGGGACGAGTCCTTTAGGGCCCGAGATGGGGGCTTCCTGAACGCAGGGTCCCCACTGGATGCCGCCAGTGCCTTGGTCCAGGCAGGTGGCTGTGGGAGCAGCTCCTCACTGTGAGCTACAGCTAAACAGTGACCCCTGCTGCCCCAGCGCCTGACGAGAGGGGACAGCTGTTCCAGCCGTAAAGTTCTCTCCCATTTTTGGACGGGGGCTTTTGTCCCCTCTGGGTTTCGTGACTGCTAATTAGTTCCACCTTGCCTCAAGCCAGGATCTTTCCTGAAGCCGCAGAGGCCCAGGTCCTCTGACCCTCTGCTGCTCCACCTCCCTCTGGAGCCTCAGTAGGGCTGGACTCTGGGTGCCCGTCGTTCAGAACCGCCTGGATTATTAAAGACATTTCAAAAGCTATCGTCACCAAAGTCCGAGTACCAGGAATCCCGGAGGCCTGCGAGGTTATTTGAAGGAAGAAACAAGGAACGAGGTTGGTTTCCTTATACTGCGATGAATGAAAATCTTCTAGTCAATGTGGCAATTTGTTCTACTCCGGCAAAAAGTACTTTTTAGACACAAAAAAATTCTAGTGTGAGGAATTTGTTCTAAGATCTCACATGTTTCATAGAGAAATTCGGACACAAGAGTCCTTATCAAGGGGAAACTGTTGTCACCGAGGGATGGGGAGAGAAGCCAGGGATAGACCTCTGAGCAAGTCGACCCCCATCAGAGGCAGATTGGAGGTGGGGTGAGGGGACTGGGCTCCCCCCACAGAGGAGCGGGCCCGTTAGTGAGCTTGTCCTCTCTAAGCACAGAGGTTCTGGTGTGCAGTCTGCATGGGAGGGTGTGAGCTC